GTTTTCAACTCGTTCTATAGCTCCATTATTTCTTTTCAACTAAGTTTCCATCTTGGACTGTCTACTGGTTATCATGTAGTTGATCTTTGCAATATTGATCTGCATTCCATGCATCTTCTCCCACTCGATTAACGATATTCTTTTAGTTTCTCTATATTGTCCTTTATTATAACCGTTTCGCCAGCGTATCTTAGATTATTACTAAGAATATCATTCTATTGTAATAATAATAATCCAACTGGCTTACACCCAATCACAGGAAATATAGTAATAACCATAAATAATTAAACAAACCAGATATTTAGAACTGTCAAAGTATTTTATTGATAGAACTGTCAATAATTTCAACTTCTAATAAAAAGTGTTTTTTATTGAAAAACAACCACTGAAAAAATTGAAATAAAGCAAGGTGTGACACAAGGGTGTATACTGTCACCAACCCTGTTTAATCTCTATTCCGAAGACGTAATGAATAGAACACTTTCTGAGCAATCCGTAGGTATTAAAATAAATGGCGTTAGATTAAACAATCTGAGATTTGCCGACGACACCGTCCTGATCGCAGAAACACTTGAAGAGCTATAGACATTGGTGAATAAGATAGCAGACTGCAGCGAAAAATATGGACTTATCTTTGAACATAAAGAAAACTAAATTTATGGTAATATCGAAATCAACACAAAATGTCCAAAATTTATATTTACACAATGAAATTATCGATCGAGTTAGCAAATACAAATATTTAGGCACTTTTATAAATGAAGACAACGATAGCTTAGCAGAACTCAAAATAATAATAGAAAAAGCCAGATCCATATTCACTATAATGAAGAGAGTGTTCTGCGGAAGAAATTTGAGCCTTGAAATGAAACTTCGCCTGATGAGATGTTACGTACTTTCTGTGCTGTTCTACGGAATGGAGTCATGGATGTTGAAAAAGATTGATATTAAAAAATTAGAGGCATTTGAGCTGTGGATGTATCGCAGAATCCTGAGAATATCATGGATCGAGAGAGTCACCAATGTCGGAGTCTTGAGAAGAATGAATAATAAAGAAAAGGAAGTCATATTTACGATCAAAAAACGAAAACTGCAATACTTGGGACATATTACAAGAGGCGAAAGATATGAACTGCTTCGAATAATTATGCAAGGGAAAATAGCAGGAAAAAGGTGCATAGGAAGAAGACGAAACTCCTGGCTAAAGAATCTACGGGAATGGTATAGCTGTAGCAACAACGAATTGTTTCGGTCAGCAGTTTCGAAAATACGTATAGCCCTGATGATCGCCAACCTTCGGAACGAAGATGACACTTGAAGAAGAATTCAAAGAAAGACAGTTAAGATTTGATTTCACGTATATTGCCTATGTGTATTTGCTTATACGTATTTCATCCTAACAGGAATCATCAGAACGACTGATACAGAAGCCCTAAACTTGAAAACAAATATTTTCCGTCAAAAAAAGCAACAATAAAATGGCTTCGATTTGAAAGCTATAGCGGCATCTGATATGCCACTGATAATAAAGGAAAGATGTAGAAAAGGAAATAGTAGAAATCCTACCAACTACCGTACAATCACATTGCTGAACACAAGTAAACTGCTTGCTAGATATTTTAAAATAAGATAGATGTAAATACATAATTAGTAAAGAGCAATAACGCTTTCGGCAAAATAGATTAAAAGGGGAGGCTATATTCATAGCCATGCAAATCACTGAGTTCAATTTGGGATGTACAAAAACCTCGTTGTCGAATTCACAATGTATAATCAATGATAAGGCAAAAGGATACTTCTGTTTCCTTTTTTTTTTTAAAGAGAAAAGTTCTATTTTCTCAAACACACATACATTTTCTACTTTGTCCTCCATAAGGAGAGTAAAGTGGAAATTAATGTTGGGCAATGTGGCAAGTAATAAATAAATAGGTGCAGTGTTTTGTATTGACGCAGTATGACGTATTTTATGATTGTGATGGAATTAAATGCAAGTAATGATTTAATGAATGAAAATGTTGGTTGTTTATATTTATTTTTTCAAATTCGAGCATGTATCTACTTGATAAAAATTGGAAGTGCAGAGTTTATGAGCCCACTTCTGACAAAAATTACACTGAATCAACACTTCCTTGCTCTTGGAATAGCTGTATGGTTCGATGCATATGGGACATAAAACACCGTCATCAGGTTGGAGATCTTCTAGAGATTTCGGTATGATGAATTTTTGTTTGCAATTTTATTCACACGTTTTTCGGTGTTCTTCGTCAAAGTCCCCTTTGACGTTTTCTTATTAGTCTTTCTATAGTTTTTTATGTGTACTTCTAATTTTTGGCATCTGGTCCGGCATTTAACATCAGAAGATCGTTTAACTCTGTGAAAGGGTAAGATTTCCTTAGGAGACACTATGAAAAAGTCCCCGCCGTAAGATGCCTGTAGTATTTTTTTCCATGATTGGAGATTTCAGTTTGGCTAAATGGAGAAAAGTTCAGGTCAGAGTTAATGGGCAAATGCCACATTTTTGAAATTAAGGGGTGATATTTTGAGAGGTAAAACTCTTTTCAAAGACAGTTTTCACCAAACTGCCTATGTCATGTTGAAATATTCTCCGACCTGAAAAATTCTTTTAAAAAGTGTCCGCTGCAATTTATGCAGCTGGTGGTACAGATAACATGATGGCGCCGTTTTCTCTGGCGAGAATATTACCGTTCAAAATTAAATGAGAACTGTGGTCATCCAAAACTAAAAGCACAGGGTGTTATTTGGATGGTCGAACTATTTTAATAAAGAACTCTAACCATTCATAGATATCTGCATTGATTCAACCAGAATCCCTGCACCAAGCGGCGCTACCAACTGTTCCAGAGTCCAATTTGCTTTCTCCTACTTTCTTTCTCTTTTCGAAAACAAAGGTTGGCGGGATAAAATTTTCAGCGCCATTGATGCAACAAATTATTGTGGTCAGTTCACCTCTCTCAGCAAAACTTAATACTTACACTTGGTTTTTTTCCTTTTACTGAAATGAGCCTTGGTAGTTTAGAACATGATTTTTTCAAATCAGACTTATCCATGTTATATAATATGCTAGTTGGGTTTTGTACGAAATTGTTGTTTTCATACAATTTTAAAACATATTTTTCCTGCATGGTTGTTCTTAAATAGATGTGGTACATCATTTTTCACTTCAATCTGGAACGCAAGTTTTTGAAGAGAATTCCTTGTGAGGCCACAAAACTTGTAATCCATATATTTGGCATATTTTACAACTTCGCGTTCCATTCCTGGACTGAATACTGAAGTGAAGTGGTCTAACTTGTTTTCGCTAATCCTTTCTTTATGTGAAGGTGGAGCTTACCCAAAGGAATACTGTAGCGTTTGAAATGCTCGTCTTGCGACCTCCATATCATTCTCAGTCCATTGGGGTCTTTCGTTTATATTTATTAACTATTTTTACTATTTAACTAACTATTTAATTTGAATAATTGTAACATATATATATATATATATATATATATATATATATATATATATATATATATATATATATATATATATATATATATATATATATATATATATATATATATGTTACAAAGCAAGCAAAGCGGAAAGTTTACACTTTGGCCACAAACGAACTGTCCACTATGCCCTCCCTCAATACAAACCATGAATTCTAGAATAGAACCCTTGTTTAAACTGTGGTGAATCTTCGGTGACTTTGGTCTACAAATATAAATAAGTAAGGTTTATATTTTGGAAAATACCTAATGAAAAATACACAAATACACCTCAGTTTGTTTGATGTTGATGATTTCTTCTTCACGTGTCATGTCAGAGTGATACGAATTTGACAATCACCATTGCGAGGGCTTCTCGATCTTCTGTCACATGAAACAATAATTATTGTCTCGCATTTGTTTGTTGATATGTATATTCCCTAAAACACAACTCAAACTAATGTAGGTACAGTCTTGCACGTGGGCAATACAAATGACCATGTGGGACAAATACAATGCTGCCCTCTGTTGTAGATGATATTCACCATTCATATCTATAGGGAGCTACGACGTGCATTTACAATGGCACCATCTACTAAATCTCTGAGATAACGATTTTCCGCTTTGCCCGCTATTTTTCTGCTATTCCCTCCGTTACCCTACGCACACATATTAATAAGGTCAATATGATATAATATGTAATAAAAATACAATAAAAACAAAAATAGTGCTTGGGATCTCAGAAATGATAACAGTGAGATCAAAAACTTACCTCTGTAACAACCAGGATGTACGATGGGAAAGACAGAGAAGACGGGTGTGGAACTAACATATTACATGATCAGATAGTGGAGGACTAGCCAGAATTGCAAGATACCAACAAGTTTTAAAATAATTTTAACCAACAAGTATAAGTCCACCAGAAAGTCATTTTAATCCTAAGGCTTATTTTTCTCCAATAGAAGAAGAATCATGTATTTGTTGGGTAATAGGAAAATACAGGTGTATTCGCCCGCCGTACGTTTGGTTGCATAATATATCATATAGTAATTAACTGCTGCATGTGTTTAAATGATATTTAATATAAATACAAAGGAATGGAAATACCCCAAATTGTTTGAATTAAAAACAATCTTTCAAAACTGTAATAATCTTTATTATCATGATAGGTACAAAATACGTATATCAATATCATATTTCTCAGTATTAATTTACCAGACACTTTTAAGGATATGTACGATATGTTTGGTTGCATAAAACATGGAAATATTAAATATTTATAAAATATTTTTTAAGTTATTTTTATTAAATTTCAATTTAAAGAAGTAAAATATTTTATTTTTGAATATTTATTAATAATTTGTAAAACAAGGTTTTAAAACTTCATTAATGTTTATGAACATGTGATCCTTTTTGCCAATCCTGAGCTGTGTCACAGTTTGCAATATCAAAAACGTGTTGGTCGAATCAAATCTAGTAAATTCCTAACTATCCTTCGCCTTCGCCATTGCTGTCTGATTAAATAATAAACTGCATGCCGGGGGTTTAATGTAAAATATATTTATTAGTTAATAACTTCCACTTTCTATTCAAATATGACTTCAATTATTGTTGCTAGAACTTTAGCACCAGGTAATTTTATCTTTATGTTGTAAGGTTATCTTTATACTCTCCTCTTTTTTTTGGTAAGGTTATCTTTATATTATATTCTTTTTTAGTGGTGCACCGTTCCCTTAAACAGCTTTTTTCCAAAGGAACTGGCACAAAGGTCAGGAACTACTGTAAAACATTACAAGTAGCGACAGTTCAATACAACCAAAAACGATTATATGCAGAGAAAAAGGTGTTTGAAAGAACCAAACCACATTGTAATGTGGGTACTATAGGACATGTAGATCATGGTAAGACTACACTTACTGCAGCTATTACCAAAGTTTTAGCTGAACAAAAGTTAGCTCAAGCAAGAGGATATGCAGATATTGACAATGCTCCAGAGGAAAAAGCTAGAGGTATGTAATAGGTGTGTGCTCCAAACAATAAATCAATGGAACAATTTTTAGAAGGATATGAATACTTGCATATATTAAAAAATTTACATCTTTTAGGTATTACTATTAATGTTGCTCATATTGAGTATCAAACAGAAAACAGACATTATGGCCACACAGACTGCCCTGGGCATGCTGATTACATCAAAAACATGATCACAGGTGCAGCACAAATGGATGGTGCTATAATGGTTGTAGCAGCTACTGATGGTGTCATGCCCCAAACCAGAGAACATCTATTATTAGCAAAACAAATTGGTGTCCATCACATTGTAGTCTTCATCAACAAAGTTGATGCAGCTGATAAGGAAATGGTTGAGCTTGTAGAAATGGAAATTAGAGAGTTGCTGACAGAAATGGGTTTTGATGGAGAGAATATTCCAATTATTGCTGGGTCTGCCTTGTGTGCTTTAGAAGGAAAGAATCCTGAAATAGGTAAGTGTGGTATTCTGTTGCTGCTAGTTATCTTATTGTCATCCTTGCTATTATTAAAATAATGGATAATCATATGAAATATGATTGCATTACTTCAATAATAAAACATGTTTTAACAGAGATGATACATAATATTCTATTTTCTCTGGTCTAAATTACACAAACTATCAAATTGTTTTATAATATATGATTGCATATAGTACTGACACTTCTATAGTTTTTGCCATTATTTTCTGCTTCACTTTTAAAGACAAATGATGACAAAGATATAGATTTTGTACCACAAAATATTTAATTAATGTTTGGGCCAAACTCTCTTCCCACTCTATCAATGGCATTTAAAAGATTTTAGAAGATTTCTAAAAGAATTTAGATTATTATTGATTAATGTATATTTTTATTTACTGTATAATTATTTCTAGGTTCTGAAGCAATCCTAAAACTATTGAAAGAAGTAGATGCCTACATTCCTACCCCAGTAAGAGATTTAGACAAACCATTCTTGTTACCTGTAGAACACACTTATTCCATACCTGGAAGAGGTACTGTGGTGACTGGAAGATTGGAAAGAGGCATTTTAAAGAAGGGGGCTGAATGTGAATTTGTAGGGTATAACAAAGTGCTGAAAAGTACAGTTACAGGTGTAGAAATGTTTCATCAGATTTTAGATGAAGCTCATGCTGGTGATCAACTTGGAGCATTAGTGAGAGGATTGAAGAGAGATGACATTAAAAGAGGTAATACTATTTTGTATTAACAATTGAAGGTATCTTGTCCGTAACATGATGTGGGTAAATATAATTTAGTGACAATTTTATAGGATAAAATTCTACTCAGTTCTTTAGTGTATTTCCAAGTGTGGGTGATACTTCTCAGAAATAAATTCCAGAAACCAGGTTATGTGCAATCTTTCTGCATATGGCTGTAAGCGACTCCAACAGCCCCTACGAGTCCTACACCAACTAAGGTGACATGATGCTGAGACACTGTGGGGCTCCACCTTACCCGTAGTATGAGGCGGAAAGATAACGCATGCGGAATTCCACCTCGCATGTAGACAGGTCACTGCCGAAAGTCACTCCTCTACCACTTGAATCATTCCAGGTAGGTACATGCCAGGACACTGACACCACTCTCGGTGATGTAAGGCCGTGGGAGGTATTTACTGGCCCAGCTTGTTCAACCTCACCTGGCTCTTGTGGAATGAGAGTAGAGTGGTCCCACGAGATGCTAGTCTGGGATACTCGGAGTGTAGACAGGTGACTGAGATGACTATGCATCTTGAGTGCGTTTCTACAGACCCAACATCTTAAATGACGGCTCTCCACCTCTCATTACCTACCCATAAGTCGCCTCTTACGAGAGGCAGGGTCTTCTGGCCTCGGCAGTATTCTTATCTCAGCGAACCAAATGGAAACACCTGCACACATTGACTAATTCGTGTTCCCTCCAATTAAAATTGGCTGGACCCGGTCTTCCTTGCCTTTCAACATACGACAGTAAGCGTAACCGCTGCCTCTACGAGTCCGACACCTACTAAGGTGGCACGATGCCGAAACATCGTGGGGCTCCACCTTACCTGTAGTACCTGTGTCGCGGGTACGTCACCCGTCCGGAGCCGTGCGTTTTGCATTCTGTATTGACAGTTTGTGTAACATTTTAAAGTCTTTATATGTTCTCTCAATGTCTGGTAACAGATACAGTTTTTAAGTTGTTCTAAAATGTGCAGTTAATCACGCATATCTTTTAAGTCATTGTTAAACCCATTATTTTATTCTTCTCTGGGACCAAATAAGCTTCTTCCAGAATATTCATAAATCTGTTCTTCTCATTCATATCCATTTCTTTCACATTCACATAGTCCCAACTTATTTAAAATATTTGACCTGAACATATTTTTTTTCTGATACTTATCAACTTGTTGCAATGAAAAACCAATCTGTTGTCCTTTGTGGTCTGAGAAATCCAGTTCACATACTCCTGCCATCTCGCACTGTATCTCAGAATCCAGAAAAATGTTATTAAGACAGTTTTCTCCTTGAGCCGGCTGAAAAATTGCTTGATTTAAATTGTAACTTCCCATTATTTCTTGTACCCTAGTTGTATTGATGTCGTTTGTACAAAATTTGATATGGAAGTCACATGCCATAATAGGTCTCCCCATACCAATACTTTCCAGAAGTCCATCTAAAGATATTACAAAGGTGTCAAAAAAACTAGATGGGCTTCAATATAAACATATAATACTTACATTTACCTTCTTTAAAACAATCATGCAGTATTCAATACTCTTTTCTTAAGTTAAAATTCACATTACAGTTAAAAACATTAAAATTCAAGTTCTCTCAAACAAAAATACATGTTCCTCCTCCAACTCAATCCAATCTGGTCGAAAAAGCTGTCAGTTTAAATGACTAAGTGGATTGCTTGTCTGCAATAAAAGCCGCCAGTTTATCAACTTTATTCCGTAATTATTACACATTTGCATGTAGAATCCTTAGGTTGACATTTGTTTCATGGATAGTATGTGGAGTTTTTAGGGCACTTTCTCCTGATTCAGAAAATAGTTAACAGGACATATTTCTGAACATAAATAATTGAATGAGAGCAATTTTTGTTTCTTCTAGTTTTATTGCATTATATTGCATTGATATTATTTTCTTGCACTTACAGTAAGCATCCAAAACACAGGACTTCAGAAAGTCCAAAATGTTTTCAGGTGTAATCTCTGGAGTCAATCCAGTGAAAAAAAGGAAATACCATTTTCAGTGCTGCCCTCAGTGCACAATTTTAGTTTGAGCCCTTGAGTGGTTTAGGTCTATTTGTTTGGCTTAGTTTACTGAACTCTTTATTTATTTATTTTTTTTTTGTTTTGAACAGTTTTTCATCCATCATTTTTGTTACTAACCTCTTCCATTTGTTGCTATTGTTGACGTGCGTCATGTGTCAGTGGAGTGCCTGAAATATGTTTGTGTTTTGTGTGGCTGTGTCAGATTTTTGATCTTCGTATTAATGGGGTTCATTCAGCTCGTCGTTTTCCGCTACAAACGTAGATATAGCTTTATCCTCGTCAGTAAAGGTAACGTCATTTGTTGCAAACTTTATGTTATTGATTTTGATAACTGTTGAAGGTGCGGAAAATTGGCGCGAACTGCGTTCTGTTTACTAACCTCAGTTTTTCGTTTGTGGTTTTGTTTTTTAACTTCTGACCCAATTCAAACACCTTTCCACAAAGAAGGTCACTAATTTCCTTCAGGTTCATCACTGAGGTACTTAGCAGTCCATTATTTTGGATGTAGAGCTTCAATTTATCCGAGATTGGTACACCGGCGTTGTCGTTTTAATCGGCACATACAATTTCTTTTTTTATTTCCTGGACCATAAAGCCCTGGGTTGTCACGATGCAGTGGCTGTGAAAATATTACTGGCACTACACACATCCAACGCAGTTTTTTCTTTTTCTATCACACATTTTACAGAAAATTGAAACTTTTTCAGGAGATGTCAAGTCAATCTCACTTTCCGCCATGTTGAATATGTTACAAGTCATCTTGAATATGTTACTTATTTAAAATGTTAAGACCTTATTTAATAAGTAAATCTTATTTGTTGTTTAAGGTATGATTATGGCTAAACCTGGAACAGTAAAGAGCTATGACAATGTTGAAACTCAAGTATATGTTTTAAGTAAAGAAGAAGGAGGTCGCCCGAAACCGTTCACATCTTTCATTCAGCTACAGATGTTCTGCAGGACCTGGGATTGTCCTGTACAAGTAGTTGTACCAGACAAGGAAATGGTCATGCCAGGTGAAGATTCTAAGTAAGTTAAATAATTTGTAGTATTCTGCGAACAGATCAGATAAGGTTTTTGTTCATAAAATGGTTTAACAAAAGGAATTTATATAAAAGGAAATATAGTTTTTTGTTGGAGTTTTTTCTATTACCTTTTTTTGATATTTAGGACATATCTATATAATTTTGCTATAGTTTGCATTACAGCCATTCATCTGTAGTTTTCATATTATTTACGTCGATCACATTTTTGCTAAATATTGACTGATGACTTTGATGAAAGTCACCATCATTCTGGCTCTACAACTCTACGTGGGTCCTAGCCTCCTCAATAATTTTTCTTCAGTCGTCCCTGTCCATCGCCTTTCTCCGCCAAGCATGTATTCCCATATTTCTCATGTCTTCATTGATGTTATCAAGGAACCTTGTTCTAGCTCTACCCATCAACAAGCCCTATCTATCTCAGACGTCCTACTTTAATAAGATTTACGATATCAGGTTCGTGATACTATAAAGTTCGAAGTTGTATCGTCTTTTCCACACTCTATTGTCATTCACTACTCCATAAATTCGCCTTAGTACTTGTCTTTCGAAACATTCTAACATGATTTCATTATTTTTTGTTAGAGTCCAGGTCTGAACCATATGCTAGGACTGGGAGTATTTTGTTTTGTAGAGTTTTACTTTTGTATTTCTCGATATAATTGTGGAGTTAAGGAGGTTGAGCCCAAAATAGCATCTGCTGGCCGTGCAAATTCTGCGGTAGTATTATTTTCAGTGTTTAGGAGTGCTCCCAGGTATACAAATTCGTTCACTGCTTCGATGACGTCGTTTTCTATAACAAGTGGTCGTAGTATTTGTGGTTGCGTGCTTATTTTCATATATGTTAATATGAAAATACTGTCTTAAAAATAACAGACACCATCGGCGGTATAAATGACTCGTCCTCTATTCTTAGCACCAGTAATGCATTGATTAGGGAGACTGAAACTTCGCAAGCCCCGAAGATGACATCGAAGAGAATGCGGAAAGCTCGGCGCAATGATAATCTACGCGGTTCAATGCAGAAGTCTGTTGAGTTTATTATTAATTCCTGTAATAGTATTAATCTTAGCTCTAGGTATAAGCAGTGATAAAACAATAGAAAGGGTTGGAAACCTTTCACACTGTAACTCTTGAAGATCTGAGTCAGATAAGAGGAGAAAAAAAGTAAGAAACGTTTCGTTTTGTACTTACAAAACAGCATCAGTCCAAATCTGCAAGAGTAATACTCTTTTAGAAGGATTACAGCCACCTATTCTTATTCATTCTTATATATTATAAGAAGAATGGGTACTGAGAGAGAACTGCTAAATATTGTAAAAAAACAGAAAAACGAGTTATCTAGGACATATTTACAGAGGAAAAATACAACTTCCTACGACTTATAATGGAAGGGAAAGTGGAAGGAAGAAGAAAATGCTCCTGGTTGAAGAATCTAAGAGACTGGACAGGAATGGACACACATTTGATACTAAGAATATATCAAGATAGAGAGCAATTTGCTATAGCCAACCTTCAGTAATGGAGAAGGTACCTTAAGAAGAAGAAGATTCTTATTCAGCTGCTAGGTCACTAGCTAGCTACTTATTCACAACTACTGTAAATCCAAACCAATCTCACAAGTTTTAAGGCAGGATCTTCCTGTCTTGACTCCATTTGCCTCTTATTTTTCCCTGGAGTGAGAGATCAAGTACAAAAAACAAATAGACTGGCAGGATGAGAGTACTGAGAAGAATTACAGGAAATTCGTTGAGATCGAAAGAGAAGTGAAGACATTAGAAGAAAACATAACGTACAATGTATAAATGAATAGACACAAAATAGAAAAAAAGAATGGAATAACCACATATGCAGAATGGGTATGTAGTTGACTGTGTCGTCAAAATAGCAAGAGATAAGTCACCAATCGGCAAAAGAAGTATCCGACGACCGCGCAAAAGATGGATTGACAACCTTCCATAAAGGTATTAATCTGCCAATGAACAACCAGAATTGCCTATTAAAGAGGAAGAAGAAGAAGATCAATGAAAAATAAATGTGACTGTGCACTTTACTCCACAAAAAAACATTAAATAACTTTTTTAGGTATGGGTGTCAGAACCCGACCTTTTATTGGAGTTGAAGCAGCGATAGAAAAATGTCTCTTTAAGGTTAATTTCTATTATCTATTTTTAATCCAAGGTTAATTTCTTGGCATTTCGTAGTTCTCATTGGGGTGTCTTGTTCCCTATAAATATTCTCAATTACATGCTACCATTTGCTTCCAGTTGTGTCCTCCGATCTTCTAATATCATCCGACCATCTCATTTGTGCTCTTGCTCTGCTCCTCTTTCCTAACCATGGTCTCCATTGTTGTATTTCGTGGTTCCATCTCTTATCCTTCAGTGGGGCATTGTGTCCTGCAAAGCTCCATTTTAATTTGGCAGCATGTTCTCCTGCGTCTTTTACTTTCGTTTTGCTTCTAATCCATTTGTTTGTTTGTCTATAAGTCTCACCCCGAGCATTGATCTTTCCATCGCTCTTTGTGCTTTTACTATTTTATCCATGTTAGGCTTGGTGAGTGTCCACATCTGTGAGCCATACGTGAGTATAGGGAGGATACACTGATCGTAAATTCTGGTTTTCAAATATTGTTCTATTTTAGTGCTTTTCAAGATCCAACTCAGTTTTCCAAATCCTGCCCACCGGTAATCTTATTCTCCTGGTAATTTCGGCAGTTTGGTTTTCTTTGTTAACTTTCATTATCTGTCCCAGGTAGATGTATTGGCTTACTGTTTCTAAATTTATGTCGTTCAACGATATTTTTTTACTGTTTGGTGTATTTGTCGTTATTTTTGTTTTTTCCAAGTTCATCTTAAGACCTACTTTTTCCGAAACTTGTAGCGAATATTACAATGTCATCAAGATATCTTAAATAGTTTTCTTCCATTAACATTTATTCCTTTATCTGTCTAGTTCATGTTTTTGAACACGCCTTCAAGTCCAAGCGTGAATAGCTTTGCTGCTACAGGGTTACTATTTCTAAATTTCGAGGCAAAATTTACAACAAGTAATCGCCAAATATTGAGCAACTTCGTTCGTTTTATAAAACCATAATTATTGTATTTTTGTTACAGATTAATTTTGAAAATGATGCGACCCATGGTACTTGAGCAAGGTCAGAGATTTACGCTAAGAGATGGTTCACAAACCTTAGGAACTGGCGTAGTAACGAAAACCTTACCCCGCCTCACAGAAGATGAACGTATTTCTTTAACAGAAGGCAAGAAAGCCAGAGAAAAGAAAATAAGTGCAACCAAGTAGATTGTAAATTTTTATATATTTTGTTAATTAATGTTTACTATGCCGAAGAAAACAGAAAATTACTGATGTTTCTGTGTGAGAATGTTAGAAGGTTTGTTTTAATAGAGAAACTAATAGGTATCATTTTTTATTTCTATGTATTTCGATTTTAGTGTCTCGTTATCAACAGCTGACTGTATATTTTATATATGTTTTGAAGGGTTTATTATGAGTTTGTTTTTGAATTTATTGGTTTGCAATAAAATCATGTGCAGATAGTACTGGACAAAAATGTTATGTTATGCTTTAGTAGCCATTCGTTTTTCTCTGTGTATTAAAACCTGGGACAAAGAGGATGTTAAAAAAAGTAATGAGTACCAGGCCAGAAGGAAATTGTTACTCATACTATTAGTTCGGCTGTCTGAGTATGTATAAAAAATAATAAATACAAAAACGGGATGTGGTACTCCGGCAGTGACCGAGGAGGGGAAGCATAGCTTTCTTATTGTCTACGTACGGAACGAGGGTTTATAATTTTATTAAATTAAACAGGTAAAAAGAAATAAAATAAGACTTACTCACAATCAATTTAATTATACCACCAACGACCGGTTTCGCATGCTACAATTTGCTATGCATCTTTAGGTCTTACGGTACCTGGTAAATTAAATGCTGAAATTTCAGTACTATTACTTTAAATTGTCCAGTATCATTCTATCTGTCATGTTTTCCAAAGATGTGAAACAGTTGTATACTTCTTCATTTGCGTTTTGTCTTTGGATAAAGGTTCTTACAACGTTCAAAGCACTTTCCACATCTTGTCTATTAGGACCTTCTTACGTAGATTCACCGCGATTGTCTTCTCCATCTTCATCACTTTCTTAACTGACGATAACGCGCTCCACCTGCGGATTTATTACTTCTGCGATAATTTCAGTATCCGTCGGAAGATCACAAACAATGACGTCATCGTCAATGGAAATAAATTCAGCAAATTCATCATCATTGTTCAGTTATTCAACAGGATATTCATCTTCTTCGTTTTCTACGTCAGTCTCTGTCCACCCCTCATGACCGAAACAGTACTGTTTAGGGTAAAGCATTTGAAATTGCGGTTAATTCCCAATAAAAAGTAAATAATATTAAAATGTCACAAGAAAATAGCTTCAAAGGAAAATATCTGTCGACAATGAAGGTCGCTTTACTGGAAAGAGACTCCTGTGATCCAAGAAATCAGGTTAACATTTACAAGCATATCTAGATTATTGATAATTTGCCCAGCGGGACAAAAAAAATAATGTTACGATTTTTTGCAAAGGTTACAAAAGTGCTACAATTTATTATCATGAAAACAGCATAAATTTCATGTCTTTATCAACTATGTGCTTCAACTTGGTAATACTTTAGAAACAAATTGAAAACTCAAAGATATTTCAAAAACAAACTTAATGAACTGTATTTAAAATCATATTATTAGGGTTACTTTTTCATTGAATAAAGTATAAATAAAATAGGGTTTTTTTGTTTCCTGTTATCTCACCTATTTATAATAGAATTATAAGTTATACAGCCGAGACAGTAAAGTCTATTTGGTGAACTTACACAGGTTTCATCATCAATCTGGCTTTACAACCCTACGTGGGTCGTAGTCTCCTCAAGAATTTCTCTTCAGTCGTCTTCGTCTTTATCCATCGCCTTCCTCCGCCAAGCACGTATTCCCATATTTCTCATGTCTTCATCAATGTTTTCAAGGAACCTTGTTCTGAGTCTTCCTCTTGTCTGACCAATGGGACTATCAGGAGCGTTTTTCTAGCTGGGTTATTTTGTTCCATTCATATTACAAACATGCCCTATTCACCTCAGAGGTCCTATCTTAATATGTTTTACGATATTAGTTTCATGGTATATTCTATGTATTAAGTTCGAAGTTGTATCGTCTTCTCCACATTCCATTGTCATTCACTACTCCATAAATTCGTCCTAGTACTTTCGAAACATCCTAACATGTTTTCATTATTTTTTGTTAGAGTCCAGGTCTCTGAACCTGGTCTCAGGTTTTGTAGAGTTTTATTTTTGCATTTCTGGATATAATTGGGGATTTAAGGAGGAGATTGAGCCCAAAACATCATCAGTTCTTGCAAATTTTGCGGTAGTATTATATTCGGTGTTAAGGAGCGCTCCCAGGTATACAAATTCGTTCACTGCTTCGATGACGTCGTTTTCTATAACAAGTTGTAGTATTTGTGGTTGCGTGCTTATTTTCACATACTTCGTTTTGTTGGTGTTTATTATTAAACCCATTATTGTAGCTGATTCCTTTAACGATACATACGCTTCTCATTACTGCGTTTTCCGTTCTCCCAACAATATTGATACCATCAGTGTAAGCCAGGATTTGCATTGATTTATTATATATTGAACCAATGCTTGTGATTTGTGACATACGTATTTTTGCAGAGCCAGATGGAACACTATACAGGAGAGAGGGTCTCCCTGGCTCAGCCCGTTATTTGTTTTGAAAGGTTCAGACTGTTTCCCCTGAATTACTACTCTACATTCAACTTTTTCAAAAGTTAGTTTTGTTAAAATTACCAACTGATTTGGTATTCCTAGTTCTTTCATTGCTTTGAACATTTTTCTTCAATTCACATAGTAGTAGGCTGCTTTTTAGTTTAAATATGTGATGAGTATCAATGCCATATTCCAGTGTTTTTCCAAAATTTGTTTCAGTGTTGCAATCTGATGAATTGTCGAGTTACCACCTCTGAAACCAACCTGGTATTTTCTTACTATCTGTTTTGCATATGGTGCCATACGATGACATAGTACTGTGGAAAATATTTTATACGCTGCATTTAGAACCGTAATTCCTCTGTGGTTAGAGCATTCAATAATATCTCCTTTTTGATATATCATCATCAGTAGCATTACAGCTCGTCATGAGCCAAAGCCTTCTTCAAAACAATCTTCCATTCGCCCCTGTCTCTGCAGGGACTCTTCTTCATGCTTTAACTCCGATGAATTTTAGATCATCCTCTATGTTACCTTGATACCCTAAGTTTTGGTCTTCCTCTGTTCGTCTTCCCACTGGTCCTCTTCGATCGAAAATTTTTCTGATCGTTGCACAGTTTCTGGCTAGTTTTTTTACTGCATCTTTAACTTCAAACATCGTTGGTGGTGTCCCCCTTGGCGCGTTACTGGTTTGACACAACTGACAACCCTAATTGACGACCATTTTTTTTTTCAGGCAACCTTATATTATCATATTAAGAAAAAAAATTGCTTTAATTTGATATAAAAAAAAATATGCATATACATCATGAGCAGCATATTTTATTTAAAAAATAAATGAACGAAATAAATTTTGTGTTTAAAGATTAATTACTATTATTTGCGGCCACTTTTTGACTGACACCCTTTTATCAATGTATTCTCCTAATTTTAAATGTACGCAAATATATGAGTTTGATTAACTAACTACGTTATGAACGTAGTGATCCTGCAATGGGATCTTAGACTCACAGAAAACGATTGGGAAACAATTGCAAATGGATTCGAAAAAAAACTCGAATTTTCCACATATTATCGGTGCTATCGACGGAAAATATATTAGACTAATTCAACAGATAAATTCCAGGTTGCTATAATATAACTATGAACATTACTTTTCCATTGTTTTACTTGCAGTATGTCAAACCACTAGAAAAATGGTGACTACATTCCATATATAATGTAAGTTTGTAATGTTTTACGATGGTAGGAGATGAAGCCTTTGGCTTACACGAAAACCTTATGAGACCATAATGAGGACACAATCTTAGTTACAAGCAAAAAATCTCCTATCGTTTATCTAGTGCACGCCATTTCATTGAGTGTAAATTTGATATAAAAAAAATATATTATCCAATAAGTGGAGAATATTCCACATCATTGAATGTATCTACGTATAGATTTAGTCAAAAAAAAAAATTGTGAAGACATGTTGCACTTTGAACAATTTTGTACGGTCAAGAGATGATTATTCATACGAAGATACTTTGACGATATTGGGGTTCCAACCTGCACTGAAGATCAAGAACGTAACTAAAGAGATAGAACAGCACTTACATTTCGAGACAAACTGGCAGAATATTTTGTTAACCGCCCATGGCAAAGAAATATATGATAGGTATATAGAACTCAGTCTCCACAGTAGGACCGGTAGACAGTGGCGACGCCTTCAATTCGGACCCGGCACGAAGTGAGCTACCTGCCATTCATTTTCTTCTCCATCCTCTTAATAAGCAATTCAGCTTGTTCATTATCGGATTATTACCTCTATGGAAGGTTGTTGCTCTGTCTATTGCAAAGTCGTCAGATACTTTTTCTACCCATTGGTGATTTATCTCTTGCTATTTTGACCACACGAGTCTCCCCCATTCTGCTTATGTGGGTATTCCATTCTTTTATATACTGTACGTTACATTTTTGAAGTTATACTTCTATACGCACGGTCGACGTTGGAAATTTGCATGGGAGTGAATCTGTGAAACCATTACATATGTAAGATAATGAGTAAAAGAGAGAAAGAAGATATATTTGAAGTTATACTTCTATACGCGCGCTCGACGTTGGAAATTTGTACGGGAGTGAATCTGTGAAACCATCACATATGTAAGATAATGAGTAAGAGAGAGAGAGAGAGAGAGACAGAAGATATATTTTCTGTCTCTTCCTCTCTCGAGAATAAAAATGTTCCTTTTGTATATATAATATATAAAGAACAATATGAAAAACCTAACATAACTAACCTAACCTAACATCCAATGAAAAGTTATTAAGTGTGTTACCTCAAAACGAGATGTAGCAGTCAATGATATTAAAATTGTAAACAAGCTTAACGACAATGGACATTGTAAAATTATGTTGTATAAACAATAAATTGAACTAAATATAGTTAACAATTTTCATAAACTTAGCACAGCAAAAGACATGTGGTAATTGTACATGTATATAAAAAATTCATGATAAATTTGGCTCAAGTTACTAATGTCAGTTCTCTTATTAAGAGTGTTAGGGTGTTTAAGTATATAACACATTTCTAAAAACTGCCTTTTAACGAGATTGCGTTCAGAACCAAGAATCTTAACTTCATTAAAATCTACTTTGTGTTTAGTGCTAATTGCATGCTGTGCAAAGGCACAAATATGCTTAGATAAGTTGATATCACTGCGGTGCGTCGTAAGACGCCCTCTCAGTGATCTCCCAGTCTGACCGATGTAACACGAGTCACACTTAGCACAAGGTATATGATAAATGACATTCACTTGTTCCAGAAGGGACAAGAGTGTTTTACTCTTTGAAAACAAATTTCTAACAGTCTTGGCATTCTTAACTGCAATTTTAACATGTATATTCTTCTCTTTATACAGTTTAATAAGTTTGTCAATAACTTGAGGAAAGTAAGGTAAAGATGAGTAATGGGTAGTAGGAGTCCCAAGTGCAGTACTATGCAGAACAGTGTAATTCATGGAATTATTTGATATTATTGTTGGTCACCATTGGGTATATCATTCAAAGAAGAACCATAGCTTTGTACAAAAAGGTATTTATTAATGAGAGAAGAAGGATAAGAATTCTCAGTGAGAATATTTCTAAGTAATTGAAGGAATTTCCTTCGATTAACCGGATGTGTCAATATATTCAGCAAGCTTTAATTATGTTTAATTTATATTTGAAAAGATGACAGGAATGGTAGTTGAGGAACCTATTAGAGGCCATTGGTTTCCTATACCAACTTGTGGTTAAGGTGTTATCTTCCATTAGGACACGCATGTCTAGGAAGGGAATGCTAGATATGCTAACATAATGCATTATTTTTTGTCGGTAGACTTGGCATACAAGGGAATAAGCAACAATTAAAGGTTAAAGTAAATTTATTGACGTTTCAGTTTCCATTTCGGAAATCGTTCTCAAAATACAAACATTAGTTTTGAGAAATGTTTGTATTTTGAGAACGATTTTCGAAGTGTTAATTGAAACGTCACTAAATATACTTTATCCTTTAATTGTGGCTTATTCCAATTTAAATAATAAAACCTTTAGATTTAAGGCAGAGTTTCGACAAAAATCCACATACATCCTTACGCAAAACTGCACAAATACATGATTTAGATCATTCTTCAGACTTACGTGTTTTTACATAAGAATTAATTTAAACCCTACAAAATCCAGTTGTTGCAAGAATTAAATGAAGTTTACTACGACTGAAGACTACATTTTAGCGGTGTAATAATAATGACGAGAACTTGGGTAAAAAGGTTTTTCCGACGAAGCAATATTTACACTGTAGAAATGTAAATCGGAGAAATTTAAAGTATTGAAGTGAGGTAACTCACCACATATAGTGGATACGTGAAAACAATACTCAAAGACCACCAGAACTGAATGTATGATCGAAAATAGTAGGTACTCAGTTTTGTGGGTCATTTTTATAAAAGGAAATTTAAATAATTATGAACTGC